AAAAAAAAAAAAAAAATTATTTTGCACATAAATTTACAATGACATTGTCATTTCTCACAATGCCCAGCGATATTACAGCAGCCGTCATGTTTATTTATATTGGATATTGTAGTTCCGGTCAGTGTTGTATTAATACGCTTAGAATTGTGTCTCGTGATGGATGGTAATTAAAGTCCCATCAACGACACAGCTTTCAAAGAGGCTATATAGTGACAATGCCATGCAAATGTAAATATTCCACCATAATGCACGCACATATGTTGATTATTTCTTAAATATGTCCCTGCATCAAAGTATGTACATGTATATTTACATTCGCTCCCATTGAAGCTGTGTAAACCGTGACTGCGTATACATTACCGTATACGCAGTGAGATTCCTTGGCGACCATTGTTTCTTATTGATGACGTAATTTACATTATGACGTCATAATGGTAACGTTGGAGATCCATCGCTGCTCGCAGGCTGTAAGCTGTTCATTTGTTTGGATTTACGCACGTTACGGAAGCTTTGTACCATTATAAAAGCAAATGTATTGGAGTAAGCTTTATTCTGAGTGTACCATCATAGTACGAAAATATGTAAATATAAGAATTGATCTTCAGTTTGACTGCGTATACGGTAGTATGTACGCAGTTGGCACGAACATATTCTTTATGGAGCGCTAACGCGCTCCATAGAATATGTTCGTTGCCAACTGCGTTCATACTACCGTATACGCAGTCAAAACGAAGGTCAATCCTTAAATAAGAGCATGACAACAATTTAAGATAAAAGTATAACAATGCAGTATATGGTATCATCACAGTCAATGTTATTTACAATTTAGTAATATTAAAAATGTAATTTAATATTGTACACTTGCATATCACACAAGTGATATGATATGATTAAGCACTATCATTGTCAAATATACATATAATGCTACATGTAATATAGCAAAGGGTAAAAAATGACAAGATATACACTAGTATGGTGTGTATTATGGTGTGTATTAAAATCCGACAATGGAGTCGGTGGTGCAAAAAGTAATTTATTATAGAAAATTATCAAATGACATTTGCCTTTTACTAGAAACAAGATGTAGGAAGCTACATGTATACGTTATGGTGTCAATATAAGGGAGATAACCACAGATACGCTATTCATACGATAAATTAAACATCATAAAAGAAATGTTTTGAACTTAAAACTTAATACTTGTTGTAGTACATATATAAAATACGGAGGTATATACATAAGATTTTGTAAAGTAATGCTGCAGGTATCTGCTTTTAAAAACCCCAACACTACCTGAGCCTCAAATACAAATGACCGTTTAGGATAATTGGTTCTGGTAGTTGTAGCATACAATTTGTTGGATACAGAAGCTCTAGTTGTTTTCCAATTAACAATTTTTACATAAGAAAAGATATTAGCTAAAATACCTGGGTATTCACAATGTAAAACTTTATAAGAAAGAACAAATTAAAATGTTGCAATAACATCTTCTAACCTTGGCCTATAATAGACTGTACTACATTATAAAGACATCTGCTACCAATCAAAGGATTAGGTGGCTTCAATGTCTAGGCAGAAGCAGAAAAATGAAGAAGAGTAAGTAACATAACGAAAACAAAAGGTCTTTTCACCATTAGTCAAAAAAACCTTATAACACTGCATCACTCATCGGGGGTCCTTGGGGCCCAACAGGGGGAAATTCAGTAGACAAAACTACTCTCGTAACAGAAACATTTTGACGAAAATAGTTTGCACATAGTTTCTCGTTGTAAACACTGCAATACATAGGATCACCTATCCCCAGTCATACATGCATGTCAGTCGAAATATATTTATCCGTAACGCTGTTTGGAAGTAATAAGATTTTAAATAAATAAAAAATAACCGAAACTGTAGCATAAGGCCAGGAACTTTAATCTGTTTAAATTACAGCTGCTCATACCTCATACGATAGTAGAACGATAGTATAATGAGGTGCTGTATCTAAGTAAATATCAGGAACTTTAGCAGGGCAGATCCATAGCGACATGGTTAAATATGCGGTTAAGGCAACTTGTGGAAACCGGGGCGAGTTCGGCCATTGGGTAACTCCGGCCACTCCTGGTATTTTAGTCTTGAGCAAATATTTACAACTTTTAGGATTTTAGCAGTGCAGTTCACTGGGCAGGACATTCATACGAAAAAATGACGGGAAAATTATAATTCTAGATAACTAAAAGCGAGAAAATAATTTTTTTTGGGAGGGTAGAAAGAAAATTATGACCTCACTTCTTTCCAGTTTAGCAAACTTTTTGTAAACCTAAATGCTACTTATTGATGGCATACGTGTAACAAACCGACAAATTCACATGCTGGTATACATACAAGCCTAGGATTGAGTTTCGTATTGCTCTAATATACAGACTTCTTAAAATATAAATTTTGGACAGGTTCGGCCAATGCCATACACGGGAAGCAAGGCATTTGCGGGAAAAATTGACGTTGCATGCTTTCTGACGTCATGATTATGCAAATTCCAATGTGGGCCGAACTTACATGTACCCCAGACATCCTGCCGAACTTACCCCAAGGCGGTGCACATTAGCTAGGACATACACTCTTCCAACAGTAAAGAGTTTAACAACTCTTCAAATACGGACATGCTTGCCATTCTGTTATAGTTTTATGAAGGACATGGACTTTTTTCTTCCGAATGGTGTAAATAGACATAAATTTTAACAAATACTGTCCAGAACGACTTTAAATAATGAAAATTGGCCAAACTTGCCCCTGCTTCTTACCCGATATTTTGAAAGAACTCCCACAGGCGGGCAGGGGTTTGGGAAGGGATGAGGAATCCTTAGTTATCCACCCTCCCCACCCAATATATAAATATATAGAATAGTATATTGAATTATGCAAGGATTGGATTCTAGCTTTTCTACTGACTGTGCATAAAATGAAACAGTTAAATTATGCAGAAAACTGTATTTGCATGTGTGCCCGCTGACTAGGTCTCACCTTTTTCATAATAAGTAAACATGGCGTGTTAAACCATAATCATTAAACTATGAATCAATGCAAGCAACTGTTGTCGTACCCATTATTTCGGATTGTCCATTTGCTGTCACTTAATTCTGTTATTGTAAATTGAAATATAAAATTTAAAAAAAAATTGAATTGAATTACAGCTATTTTAATCTAAAACAAATATTACTGGTCAGGTAAAACATGAATCATTATGTGCAGCACCGCTCAGCTAAAGGCAAAGTCATTGAAGAATTAATTAATCTAAATCAAATATTACTGGTCAGGTAAAACATGAATCATTATGTGCAGCACCGCTCAGCTAACGGCACAGCCATTGAAGAATTAATTAATCTAAATCAAATATTACTGGTCAGGTAAAACATGAATAATTGTGTGCAGCACCGCCCAGCTAAAGGCACAGCCATTGAAGAAGGAATTGAGAAATCAAACAGGTAAGCTGAATCTGTGTCCGTTTAGTTTAAATATACAATAGTATATTTAGATAAAAGGATTCATAGAGTAGCACAATAGTTTGAGGGAGACCGTGCAGAGTTCGGGAGTGCCAGGTTGAAATCTCGGTAAAAATGTAATCCAATGGCGCTGGTTTGTTTCTACTTCAATTGAGCGTACATCATCTTCAATTAAACGACTAACATGTAATTAACACAACACACAGTATAACATGCACTTCGACAAACACGGGTAAGTGTAAATTATGATGTGTCAAATTCTTTCAGATTAATTGGAATTTATTGAATTTTCTGAAACAAACATCAACAACAACAGAATGAAAGTTCAAATAGGTGTTTTAAATTTAGGTTGTTTTACTGATTTAAATCTGTTTTAATGATAAATTAAAACCTTTACGGGAAACTGAGTTTAAGGAACATAACTTATATAATAAAAAATCTTTATTCTTAAAAACAACGCACCGGGACATTGGACGACGGAAGACCATCTATTTCATTAGAACAATACGTTGAAAAAACCTCTTCCAATCAAAAATGTTTAGGTTATGGTGTTTCCTGTTTTTTCTCCTTCTTTCGCTTTCGAGATATTTGATAAATCACCTGTAATTTGTTTTCGTAGGAAATATTAATTTTGCATTTTCTTCTATATATTCTGCATTTTAAAAACTTTATTTTTGCAATTGACACACCTCGTGTAAACGGTAAAGGTTACCCTTGGCAACCTCCCCTCCGCTGCTTCCATCGAGAAAGGTATGGAGAGCAAACAGCTTAAATATTATGAAAAGTGCAAAATTCTATGTTCTTACTTCAAATTCCTGATAATTTGTTGTTGATTTCGATGGTGTTTGTTATCAGCACCACTACCTATTATGTGCATTGACTTTGTATTTTGATTTGAAGTACCATTATGTTATGGGTATGCACATGTGCTACCAAACGTTCCGTTGTTTTTGTTTTTTGGTGCAGGGGCCCCCTCACCTCAAAAAAAGTTATATGTTCGCACTTCCGTATCTTTGTATAGGTTTGTACTTCACTATTCGTTGCCATATTGATTAGTTAATTTTGGAATGGCATTCGGCAGTTACATTTTGTGAACTACAGTATTACCCTACCTTACCTTACCAGTCAGCTTCATGCATTTCTGCATGTTGCCTGACTGGAGAGAAACTTCCAAATAGATCTTTCTTGAGCTGCCACTTTTGCCTCCTCTACAGACCAACAAGTACCCAGTCTTGTGAGGTCTCTTTGGATGACTTTCTCCATGTCGTTATATGCCGTTTCTGAGTTTCCCATGGGTTTGGTATCCACTGGTAGAGTTGTTTGGTGATCCGGTTGTTCTCCATGCGTTGTAGATGTCCAAACCACTGCAGCCTGCACTTTCTGATATTTTTTGTGAGCATTGGTTGTTTAGTCATGTATCTTACATGCTTAATTGTGACATGTTGCCACCACACAATATGCAAGATCTTTCTTTGTCATCTCATGTCACAGGCATTCACTCTGGCATCATCTCTTTTTGTCTGTGAACTACAGTATGAAGTAAAATAAACTTTTTAATTGCTGAATTTGTTGACTTTCTTTTACAGACACTTTGATCATGATGTCAATAATAAATTAAGGGATACCATTGTCGTATCTATCATTAACTTGAATGCATGAATCTATTACTTGTTTCAGTGCCTTGCTTTATCTCTTTTCAAGTGGCGGCAGCACATATAGGTGATACATTGTACAGGTAAATGAAGAATACACTCAGCCGTTCTACTCAGTAAACCATCTGTATCAGCTACAAATACACCGAAGACAATGTCGAGGTACTAGTCTATATTTACATATATATCAAAAGAAAAATCTCAACCACATACTTCAGACTTTTTAAATGAACGAGAAAATTTGACGAATTTGTGTATACGTGTAGCGGATATCGCTGCAGCGAACCTTTATGTGACGTCATGGTTTATTACGTCAGAATTTCTCCTTTAAAACAACATTCTGAAGAATATCCTTGATGAGATAAAAGTGCTTAGGAGGAGTTGTTGAGATATTTTCAATTTGTTTTCTAGCTGATTAAAGCCATAAACATATTAATAAGTAGCAAACTTAGCCTTTGAAACGTTCACATAAAAATTAGATAAAAATAATAACTTATCATTTATGCTTATCATATAGCATACGGTCATTTATTAAATGCAGTATTGCAACATCATCACATGATTGTTCAATCGGGAACTGCCGGCACTAACCGTAAACGATTATTGTCTCGTTCACGGAGAGTACCGACTATTTCCGATTGATAATAATGTGTCTGTAAAGTTTGCAATATCACCCATTGTGACGTCACAAGCAACAAATTCGATGACGTCATCATTCACGTTTGTCAGTGTTTAGTTAAATTTGTCCCTGTCCAAAAAATGAAAAAGCAAATGCACAATTAAACGTGCTTTCTATGGGCAAATGTTGCTAGAATGATAGAGACCGTTCTTGTTTCAAATCGTCGATTTGACCAATGGATAACAACCGCTTTATATGTTCTGACAATGGCTATCAGAGTAATACAAATTTAACCGCAGTAGAAAATATAGGACTTTGTATTTGCATTGGATGTAAACTGATTGTTTCAGTATACTAAGGTTCATCGGGTTTGTAATAGACCTTAATAACACACGATTTCCTAATTTCATATTTGTCTATTTACATGCAATGCTAAATTTGTCCATTTTTATGAAATAAACTTTGTCTAGTGATATTGTCAGGAATATGATTGTTTGGTATTATCACCATTGTAGCACAAATTCAGACAAAATATTATGATAAGCAAATTCAATCATCTTTACCGTTTGCCAAAATGCTATGGGTTCTGCGGCGTCCATTGTCAGATCGAAGTCAACTTTTTGGCCAAAAACGATTTCTTCTCAATAACCAACATGTCTAATATGAAAGCGTTTGGCCAGTAGTATGCGGGTGTAAGGGGTACCAAATATGTTTAAGTTAATGACCTTGACCCTCTAATGATATTTCGACAGGTAACTTTATTTAGTATATTTAAATATATTTAACCTTGGTCCATTTTAATGTTAATGGTGTGCGATTCAGATCAGGTGAGCAATACAAGTCCATTGGAACTCTTGGCTTGATTACATATTATTGTTTTGTCGACTTTCCGGATATTATGATGCTACAAAATATTTTTTTGTTTCTGTTTTTAGCTATTATCCTACAATGAAGATGGCGACCAGCTTTAGTGATGAGAAGGACGACATGTACAATGTTCACGGCCACATGGGCAATATCAGTCGGGCGGCCATCTTAGAAAGTCTAAGTGAGATACAATTATTTACCATACATAAGCATTCCCGCAAAAAAACCCACCTGTAATATATGAAAAATATAACATTATGTTATATTTAAGTTAGGAAAATTAATCAACATGAATATTTTTATACAGATTCGAATACTTGATGTCTACCATTGAAAAATCTGAGAAATTCAAGTCTTTTATTTTTATTAATATGAAATATCTAAAGGTCAAGGAGTGAATATGAATTTCTAATAAAGATTAATGACATATCATTTTATAAACATATTCAAATCCTCGGTTATTTGTTTCACCCGTGTATACAAAATTATTGTTAATAATCATATCACGTTAGAATACAATGAAATGCTCTTTTATATATTTCTGGGATACTTATGATAATATTCTTCTTTTACGCGCGCCAATTTGTGAGCCAAGTTTTCTCACATGATGCCTCATTTTTATTTCACCAACAAGTAGCGTACAGCTGCTTCGGTACATTTGCACGCTGCAGCTTGTTGCCAGTTTCAGATATCGGTGTGTTTAAAAAGATAAAAATGTACATGCAGACGTGTACCTTCATTTGACAAAGAAATGTCGTCCTAGACCAGCTACAAAATCGACCCACGTATTTGTATTTGCAATATATGGAGCTTGTTTGGAGGAGCGTTAGTTTATTGGAATAAAAAGAACATTAACGTGAAAATCGATCCCAATGATGAATTATTAATAACAACTGGAAATTGTCGTTACATAGAGGATGTGGTTTAATACATCAAAACTTTATTATGATATATAAAGATAATGTTATGTTATGTTTAATTGCTATGACTTTAATTCATTTAGGAAGAATACTTAGTTCAAGGCAAGCTTCCAAGACGGAACATCCAGTCAACATAGCAGATTATGGAACTGCAGACGGACAAGCTTCTCTGTCGCTCGTCAATGAAATGATAGGTAAATATAATACCATTAGACAAGAACAAATCTTTCAATATAAAGTGCCTCTTTCAATGCAGGTTAAGAAAGTACAATTATGTTACAGATGTCATACAAACAGATCTGGGGAAGGAACAAGCCATTGTCGTGTACTATAACGATCAACCGATGAACGACTTCAATCGGCTAAGCAAAGTCATCCAAGGTTGTATAATGCATTACGATGTCTTTCAATGACATTATGACAGGATTATTTATTATTATTTAAAATAGATGTTCATTTCTTGATTTTGCTACCAATTGGTTTAAATTAGCAATGTTGAATCAAACGTATATAATAATTTATATAATTTCATTTTAAGAACAGATAAGACATAGATTCACGTAAGATATATCTAAGAGTTCAAGGGATACTGTTTTGATTTGTAAAATATTTTCCGTACATCTCTGAATTAATGTTGACAATTTCATAAGCACTGGTTAGCAAAATGCATCGAGTTGAAGAATGTGTTTCTCAGGTAATAGACAGGATTCTGGACTAACTGTTGACAACCACGTCTATTCGGTGATCGTTCCTATGACTATGTTTGAACAATGTCTCCCTGACAATTCTCTGGACCTCGCAATTTCCTCTGCAGCAACACATTATTTGTCCAAACAGTATGTATCAGTGACCTGTTGCAGACAAATTTTAATAAATTTAACATTGTATACCGGAAATTGTTCGCCCAATCCAACGTTCGCCCTTCGTTGTAAAATCCATATTCTCCCCATTTTAATTTCGCCCTTCACGTTGTATTACTAGGTATATTATATTATTTACTAATGTTTGCTGTAATGATATATATAGGAAACGTTATATCTTTGCATGTAAATAAATCACTGTTAGTCTTGTCCGATCGGAACGATACTTTCTTTTCACTGAGTAAATTGTCGGTTTCAAGTTCAGTTGAAGCGACGGCAAAATAAGTAAATAAAACGCTACCAATTCCTGCGCTTTTTTTTCGATGCAGAAATATTTGCGTCGTGTTTCCTTACAAAATGTCATAAACGAAAAAATATATAGTTTTTTCCATTGAATACTTATCATATTTTATTTGTTTGGCAGAATATATGGACATTTTCACTCGTGCTCCCCACTCGTGAAAAATGTCAATATTCTGCCATACTCGTGAAACATATATAGTATATAAAAGGAAACCATTTAATATCTTTTATATTTTATAGGTGTAAATCGACATGAAACTAAAGGAACTATACATGTCAAGTTGTAAACCTGTTTTAAACCCGAACATATCTATTGTACTATATCCTCTTTGCTGAATTTATATTTATAGTATTTGTGCAATTTGTACAGTTTTCTATTGATTATTATCAATTTGTTAGAGACTGCTAAATATTTAATCTTTCATACTTTTGTTTTGAGGAGTATAGCTGGTAGAAATATATTTGTTAGAAATGCTTGTATTTATCTAATCTAGGCAAGTCGACTTCACAGATAGTAAAATCATTGTGTGTAAACTGTTAGAAATAAGTAAATATTCTCATCGCATCTTCAAGAACATTTCAATACGTTGCAGGGTGTGATATTTCAAAATTAAAATAACACAAAAATGTTACCGAGGTGCGAGCCCTTCAATTTATTTTTCGTTTTTTAATTCGTATATTATTTTTACAATTTCAGAGTTTGTCAAATCAAAAACGGTGTTTTCATTGATGAAGCAGACGACATTGAACAATGTTTGATGAAAGAACAAGCCAAAGCTGATTGGAGGTCTTTTGTGATTTCAAGGGGACGGGAACTAAAGCCTGGTATGTCACATTGAATTTCGAAACTGATTACACGTATTTTATTTGAAATGTAAAGGAAAGCCAAGGAATGTATATATCACTGAATGTATAAAGTCCTAGTACATTATTATCCACTCCTGGCAAAATAAAAACACTTGTATTAGGACCTGTCTTAGGACTACAATGTATAAAAAAGCATCAGATTTGTTTTATTTCAGCCTCCTAAACTAACCTATGCTTTTAAGCTACCACTTAATACAGGAAAATGTTTGTTAAATACAAATTTCACTTGTGTTTACAAATGTCTCCATACAAATATCTGTCAACAATTCTTTTTTAATATGCATTCTTTACATGATGACGTCAACATAATAATACCAAATAACTGCAATAAAACTCGCTTTTAGGAATAGATATTTATAGAACAGAGTAGAAATCATATTATTCATTCAGATGCAATTGCTACAATATTAATCAAAGTTAAAATCATCCTATAAATATCAATTTAAACATCAATATACATGTAGGTGTTTCGTTAATGCGTTTTTCTCAAATTGGCTGTTTCTGCTATTTAAGGTTTGCTGTTGACTTAAAACTGGTATTTAGTCTGTCACAAATTATATTCGCCATCGTTATTTCATTCGTTATTGATATGATTGTATTTTTATTGAACAATACCATGATGATATATTTTAAGTTGTGATTTTTTTTCGCTTTAGGTTCAATTTATTTGAATACAATTGTAAAATAATAGACTTTAGATTGCAATTACATTATATGAATTCATCATATTGGCATCTTCGCCCGTTAAATGTTTAAATAGCCTTTGATACAGTTATGACTTACTTTTGTTTTAGATAGTTTTCTTATAACAACGAACTCATCTTCAGATGAAAATGATGATGTAACATTGCTTGTAGACGGGGGATTTCCTTGTCTCGGGAGCATCATTTCTGATATGGCGAGAGAAGGCGTGGTTTCTCAGGTGTGTAACTAATCTGTCTGTATGTATGTAGTAACTGGTGCTTAATATAGTATGTTAACGATACCCATACCACTGCCGAAACTGTAAATAAGTGTTGGGAACTGTTTTTCCCCGACATGATTATAGCATTGATAAATCATTTCTGAAAAGAAAAACATACATGGGGAACTTTAAGACAAATAATAAAGATGAAATAAACAAAATATAACTAACAACAGTGTTAAGAGTGTAAAAATTCAGTGGGGCTAGACCGGGATTCGAACCATTGACCTCAGATTTATAAGCTATCGCTCTTACTGACAGAGCTACCTTATCATTGGAATTATCCTGGTTCAAATGTGCTACAGCTTTATCCAAAAGGAAATTAAAAGCGGTACTGTATATACGAATAAAGCACAGTGTAGTGGGGCAGAGATCCTTAATATATATGTATAGGGTTTAATAGTCAGCTTTCACTTTCCGGTGTTGCTTCATGTATTTAGGTCATTTTGACAAATAAATGAATTCTTTTGATCTCAGCACCACTGGGTAATCTTAAATGCCAGAAATGGTGATATTGTGCAATAACCATTTCCGTTTGACTTTCTACATCAACAAACTAAACATCCTTCATTTGTATTTACAGTTGTTATTACAAAATAACCAATAATCTATATTCACAGGAGGAGTATCTTGCAACAAACTTGCATTGCCACTATCTGAGAAAGCTGGCTGATTTTGAGGAACCGTTCACCAGTGCTCTACCGGAAGTAAGGGAACTTGGATTGGAACTGGTGTCTGTTAAAACAACTAAACACTATCCGCGACACCCAACGTTTGATATTGTCAACAAAGGTGAGGTTTATTCAGGAAGCATCAAAACCTGGATGGGCAAAGGATTTTAATGTTATATGAACTTTATAAAGAATTGAATGAAGAAGACAAAAGAAATTTTAAAAAAAAGAAAAAGAAAAAAATATAATATTATTTATAATTACTTCTCATATTCCAGACGAGGCAGAAAAACTGGAATATTCCCGCACAATAGTCGCTTCGATCTACCCGTGGATGCATCACGTGCTTTACGGGGGATTGTCTGTTTCCCGAACGGAGGATGAGAAACAGACCATCATTGACCAATTCTTCACCAGATTTCAAACGTATGCGTTTAATCATTCAGACCATAAACCATACGTGATCTGCACAAAAGTAGTCATGAAAAAAAATTCACATGTAATGAACAACGAATGATACTTCTTTTTGTATATATCGAAAATGGAAAAATTTAACCATAGCAAGTGTATAATAAACAGTTATTTACACTCAGTTGATATTTTAAAAACACATATGATTCCAGCAGTATAGATTCTACTATATCATGCAAATGTAATCAGTGTACCACAACGGCATCATAATGTACGAATGAACAAGGTGCTGCAGTTTTGTGCAAATACATTGTTGTAATCTCTATTCAAGATCAAAAGAAATTTGTTTTATAGTTCAAACGACTTCTGTTCAAGAATCGAAAAACCTAGAGTCATCATATTCGTCTTTAGCTTGCTAGAGAGCTGCAAAGCTACAGTTGCGAAAAACCCATTGCCTTACATTCAAGGTTATATGGCATTTGTTCAAATGCTCAAAAGAGTTCTCTCAAGAACCAAAAGTCATAATGTCATAATATTTGGACATTGGCAAGCTGTTATGAAGAGCTATATAGTTGGCACAAAATTACTTTCGAGGTCATATAGGTCAACTGTGCTACTGTGTTAACTGTTTTAAAGATGTTCTTCTTGAAAACGAGGAAGACTATGGTCAAGATATTTGATTTTGAAGCATGCTTTGGTGAATGGCTATCAGGTTTGCTAAAATATATTACCTTGACCAAGTTTGACATTTCCGGAGGTAAAATAGATTAACATAATGCAGGTGCAAAAAATGAAGAGTTCTGCTGTTTAGCCTACAGAAGTAGCTTGACTGCTTTATACATTTTGAAATATAGTGGACTCTGACTCGATTTGAAGGTCAAATAATAACGCTATTTTTTTTTAAACAGCAGATGAGCGATACAGGTCAAATGGACCTCTTGTTTGTAAGAAAGTAGCATCGAGAGTAATATACATGAGCTCACTGGGATAATTATTATTGAATATATATTTGTATAGACTAAGTATAAAGGCAAGAGGAAACCCAGACATAAACAATAGAGGCGGCGCAAATCCTTAAATCATCTTTTATTTATTTATTGGTATTGAACCTTTCTATATCTTGGACTGAAAAGTCGTCATGACACTAGCCTTGATTGGCGATTTGAAGATAACCCTTTATAACTGGTGAGCTTTGCCCGGCAGCTGATGTCACTGTTACATGGGGAGGGGCTTACAAACAAGATAAATGGAAAATTAGGGGTCGGATGAGATTCATCATTTGCCAATCTTGTCGCGCGAGATTTCAACAGAACCCTAATGATGTTTGGGGTTAAATGATGAATCGTTGATTTTTAATTGATTTATTTCGAAATTCGTTCTCATATATAAATTTATACATGTAGGTACAGCCATGCTAAAATAGAATCAGCAGCACTAATATTTAATNCCCCCCCCCCGGCCCAGGTTATTGCACTTTAACATTTGGTAATTGATACAGCATGCAAACAAATGGTTGACAATGCCACATACAGCTGTTTTGTCCTTCAATGAGTCAGCGGATAATACTAGGTCTAAGTTACTGTTGTAACAGAAGGGACGGAGCGTGACCCCCTCCCCCTTACTTTATAAAGCTTTAATTTAGAATTTAGACGTGCACTGGTTATTTCAAATTGAAGAATGTGTATAGTTTGTATATTTTGAGCCATGTCACTATTCAAAAGAGTTGCATATATAGGACATACTGTAGGAAGTACACCGTTATAATGGTTCCAACACTTACCCTCAGGTAACCAACGAATGGCACATACACAGTTTATATCATTTGTATCGTCAGAATTCGGTAATCAAACATATATGCATTAACTTCAAACCAAATATAATCACATTATGTGTGACGTCGTTGCCCAACAATAGCCTACCCTTGGTCTAACACAGTTCAAAACAGTGAATGCCCTGAGGTAGCTTGTAGGTCAGAGGATGAGGAACATGGGTCGCTGTGCGAAGGAAAAAATCACCAACAATCGCCTGGAGCGACAGAAGACTGGAGGCGGGCCTCCACCTGCTGCATTGAGCGTAGCAGAAGACAGGATTGTTGATGCGATGAAGGACACCGCATCATTTATTGAAGTGTCTGGTGGACAAGAGTCTGCTGTTCAGTATGTTCAAAATCGCTGAGTAACTTTGTAATCATTTCAGTGAATAGGAAAAAATCTTTCAGCTACACATAATTAGCATGCCAAATACCAAAATCTCCTCCGTTGTTTTCTATGTAACATGCAGCATATCTATTTCTTATCATTTCCTCGATCTATAGCAATGTTAACTATGGGAATTACCTTAATTCATTTTACCGTCATTGAACCGTTGTCTGGTTCGTCTTTGTGCCATATTAAAACAAAAACACGCAAAGAATATTTATCAAATTGACTTCCTTAATAATTTGAACAACGCCTTACTTAGCCCTGCTTAGGTTTTGAAAGGGGTGTACACGTGAAAAAGCGCGCACGTGCTTTTATGGTTGTCTGAAAACACCCACACAGGACGATTTGGAAGGCTAACATGTTCATGTAATAAATAAAGAAGTTGAATTAGTTACTAGTATAGTAATTATGTGAGAGAACGCATTAAAAGTGCATGTCGGTATCAAGACTGACTTGAAATAGATTTTATAGTCGAATAGATTAATTAAACGACAGGCTTATAAAAAGTCTTTCATTTCATGGGCGACCATCAAAATGACTTAAGTAAATACCGAGATTTATTTTACATAAACAAATCTTAAAATGAAAAAAAATCCAGTTACACATAAGGGGAGATAACACCAACATATTACCATAACTCACAAACAACGTGCCAGTCTGATTAACAACGTTACGTACATGTGTGTTCATTCATTGTCAAGCCATGGTCAGTACGTTAAGATTGTATAGTCTACTTAGAGAACAAACACTATATTGATGATATCTTCAATGTTATTATTTTTCAGAAGAATTTCTTTCCAAACCATTCTCCGTGTTTACTCTACCTTTAATTGACCCCAAAGACATTTTCTGTGTTGATGGGCTGTTAAGAATTCAATAAATAAATTAAATTCCAATCAATTTACACATTTATATCCTAATTTTGTTACGTGATTTGATTATTTTTTTTATTTAATTTGTTAAGTTTAATAAAAGCCTGTTACACTACATCAAAATGAGAATTAAAAGTGATTTAAACCTCTAACGTACTCGTCTCTATCAACCAGACTCTGGTTGTCTGCGCAAGCTACGCCGAACAGAGAATTACAAAGTGATCAAGCGTCTGGTTGAACGACATTACTAACGTACGGATTTTATCTTACATAAATATAATAAAATGTACCAATAGGAGATAAGGAACATTAAGTAAAAAAAAGCATGTAGTATCCTTCATTCGATGTGCCTCTACACATACTGCCAACATATTTCACTTCCTGTATGTGTCTAATTCGCCATTTGTGTCGTTCAACCAGACTCTGGTTGGCTGCGCAAGCTACGCCGAATTACAAGTGATCAAGCGTCTGGTTGATTGAGACTTATTCGACATGGGCCCGTATTCATGAAACCGTTCTCGTGCTCAAGCATAGATTCTGTGCTCCAACTTTTATTCTTGTTACTCACTTACGATGTATAACATGCTTTAAAACCTACAGTGTTAACCTTGAAAGCGGTTTTGGGTTGTATTCCTCTCGCGCAGTGGCTGGTGCAGTATCGTATTATTTCTTTTCGTACCGTGCGTTGTAGATGTCATAATTACATGTATAATGTGTTATGGATTAGGGAAAGTTTGTCTTTCTTTCATCGTGAGAGGATAATAAACACGTGTTTTTCTTCTTCAATTTATTTTCCGGAAAGAGATATAACGACACATACGGATACACTAAATACAAAACGGCAAACTATATAACAAATGGTCCCCCTCTATTTACATCCCTCTCCAATCACTTACCTTTTCTCTTACACTTTATATATATCAAAAAGATGCAACGTAACACGACTATTAAAGCATTTTTTTTTTAAACATGAACAGCGAAATAGATTGAAAACAGTATTCAGTAGCAACTTCAAATGATAGAAACGCCGTAAATAAAAGCAAACCCGAGATCCGCTTGCCAAATCTATAGCTGTATCATGAATCTCTGTAACGCTATCGTAAGAGTTTTGAAATCCAATTATCAGATTCACGCTTTTGGGTCAACACACACACATGACGTATTTCACAATCATCGCATATCACACTTTACATTTTGATTGGATAGGCCCTATGGTCTCTTCCAACATGTTAGGATCGGCAATGGTGTAGTTTTAGTACATAACAGAAAGTTTTGAATATGCAACCCGAGAAAGAGACTTCAGTGTTGAATGTTACATATAAATAAATGAGATCTTAAATGTTACAGAACATTGTTTTGTGATGCAACACGTAGCTTTGTAACAATACGAAATGCTTGTGAAAGTAAAGAGTTTTTAAAACCCTCTTTTTTGTTATTATGCCTTTACTAAGATAGCGGAAAGCGACAGTGCGCATTCGATTACTTTAAGGATCCCCGTCCCACTGCACTGTGGATTTTGTACATACAGTAACCTTCCCTTAATGATCCCTGCCCCACTGCACTGTGTTTTTTGTACATACAGTAACCTTCCCTTAATGATCCCTGCCCCACTGCACTGTGGTTTTTGTACATACACTAACCTCCCTTTAAGGATCCCTGTCAAACTGCACTGTGGTTGTTGTACATACCGTAACCTACTATTCAGGATACCTGTTCCACTGCACTGTGGATATTGTACATACAGTAACCTACTTGTCCAAGGCATTGCCGCGCTAAACACTTGCATGTAGTTTCATGAAATTCCGTTTAGTAATGAAGTCGTTAGAGCAATGACAATTTGTTTTATTAATATAGTAAAAGTGACCTTGACCTTTTTAGCGCAGTAACCCGAAATGCAAACTTGTTCAAGGCATTGCCATACCAAACACTTGTATCACGTTTCATGAAATGTAATTGAGGAATGAAGTCGGTAGAGCGATGACAAAATTTCTTCCAAGAAATAGTAACAGTGAGCTTGATTTTTAACGCAGTAACTTGAAACGCGAAATTGTTCACGATATTGCCATACCTAACACTTGAATGAAGTTTCATGAAATTCTGTTGAGGAACGAAGTCGGAAGAGCGATGGCAAAGTTTATTTTCAAAAAAATAGTAACAGTGACCTTGACCTTAAAAATAGAAAGGAAACGCAAACTTGTCCAAGGCATTGCCATACCAAATACCTGTATGTAGTTGAATGAAATTCCGTTTAGTAATGAAGTCGCAAGAGTGATGATAAAGTTTTTCCTAAAAATAGTAACAGTGACCCTGACCTTAAACATAGAAAGGAAACGCAAACTTGTCCAGGGCATTGCCATACCAAATACTTGTATGTAGTTTAATGAAATTCCGTTTAGTAATGAAGTCGCAAGAGTGATGATAAAGTTTTTCCTAAAAATAGTAACAGTGACCCTGACCTTAAACATAGAAAGGAAACGCAAACTTGTCCAAGGCATTGCCATACCAAATACCTGTATGTAGTTTAATGAAATTCCGTTTAGTAATGAAGTCGCAAGAGTGATGATAAAGTTTTTCCTAAAAATAGTAACAGTGACCCTGACCTTAAACATAGAAAGGAAACGCAAACTTGTCCAGGGCATTGCCATACCAAATACCTGTATGTAGTTTAATGAAATTCCGTTTAGTAATGAAGTCGCAAGAGTGATGATAAAGTTTTTCCTAAAAATAGTAACAGTGACCCTGACCTTAAACATAGAAAGGAAACGCAAACTTGTCCAGGGCATTGCCATACCAAATACTTGTATGTAGTTTAATGAAATTCCGTTTAGTAATGAAGTCGCAAGAGTGATGATAAAGTTTTTCCTAAAAATAGTAACAGTGACCCTGACCTTAAACATAGAAAGGAAACGCAAACTTGTCCAGGGCATTGCCATACCAAATACTTGTATGTAGTTTAATGAAATTCCGTTTAGTAATGAAGTCGCAAGAGTGATGATAAAGTTTTTCCTAAAAATAGTAACAGTGACCCTGACCTTAAACATAGAAAGGAAACGCAAACTTGTTCAAGGTATTGTCATACCAAACACATATATATCAAGTTTCATGAAATTTCATAGAGGAATGAAGTCGATAAATCGATGACAAAGTTTTTATAAAGTAGTAACAATGACATTGACCTTCAATGTAGAAATCCGAAACGCAAACTTGTTCAAGGTATTGTCATACTACCCACTTGTATGAAGTTTCAAAAAATTATATTGAGGAATAAAGTCGATAGAGCAATGACAAAGAGTGTAACATAATTACGAACCGGCGGAATCCTATATCCCTCCGAACTTTCGTTGCAAGGAGATAATAGCGGGCACTCTCCGACGATCGCGAAGCGATCGGCCGAGCAATGTGAGCCGTTATAAGAGCGAAGCTCTAGGGTGCTGCTTTACCGGTAACATGTGCGTGTGAATAGATCTCATCCAACCAAACTGATTTCATCACCAAGTCGTTCAGCTACAGCCTAGATACTTTTCGTACTTTCGGTGACCTCTTCCGGCCCATGGAGCCCGTAAATATGCTGAATCGAATAATAGAGCGAAATGTGACGAAGCAGGAAAATTATATATTCGAAACAACGAATTTAAAAAATAATATTGACCATATTCAACACACTAGGCGTGTTTATTTCCACGATTCCTTTCCTTTTGTATCGAAAAGAGAAATGATTGACATGATCATCAAAAAGCTAACATGAATGTCACAAGCAAATAGCAAATGACGTCGAAGAGTGCGTAAGAATGTGACTAGACGGCAAACTGTATTACTGTCGAATAAATTAGCTAAGATTTTGTAAAGAAATAGATAATTTGAAACTGACAACTTTCTAAACATACACATTTGACATCTAAATATTGATAATCGGTCGTAACAAACGAGGGCCATTCCCACTAAGACGGAAATACCCGAGTATGCAGGGTCAATAACGAGGTCACTTGGTTGGATAGTAAAAGGTCAGATCATTGATGAGGTCAAAGTTCATGGGTCGTCTGCTCCAGATACAGATACTCATGATGAAACAGAATTGTCACCGACACCTTTCCAAGGGAAAACGTAAGGTGTTTCAAAGGGTCAAATTGAGGATTTTTCAGTATCACTACTCTTGTTTTTTTCTGCATTTATTGTAGAACGTCAACTTTATATAGTTCTTCTAAATTCTTCCATTTGGGGGTCGTTTCTGTCGATATTTGATCCAAATTTTTGATATTACATTTAGATTTTACAACTAAAACTGGAATTTCAATGCTGGGTCTGCTTGTACAATAGATTGAATCTAGTTTCATCTAATGCAACAAAATTAACAATTACTTTTACAGTTTTGTACAGTAAAATATCTTTATTGATAAATATTAACTTTAAACGCTTGAGACAATTTGTAAATTCCGTCCAACTGTGTAAATCATAACAGCTTTTTGATTTGACATTGCAGTGAACATATTAGTTTGCTCTGCTTTATGAATATCAGCAAAGACGAGAATTAGAAACATTATGTTTTCACTAATTTTATTTTTGTTAACAGATTGCATAATATGCGACCGTCGATAACCATTTCTAATCAAAATCAAAACTATTCTGCATATGATGTACCTGGTAATGATAGCAATTGTTTTTATTCAACCACATTTAACAACAATATTTCTCAAGTCCATCATGAAACTGACATCAATTCCATCAAGTTAACACAATAGCAACGATGAAAAGGAGGAATCTCCTGCTATAGATACCTGGAAATTCTAATGTATATAATCAGTACAAACATTAAATTTCATCATTTCACGTGGATTACCTAAATTATCTAAAATCTTCATTTTATACGCATAGTGGTGGGAGACGCGACAGTCTCTAACCTGCCGCTATGTCTAACATGCTAAACATATTTAAGTTAAAAACAGATACGTTTTTCATGGATTGCCATATCAGCTCAAACCATCTGTTTAAACATTATGCCTACAACTCTCATTATCATGTTTACTCTATGATTTTTTTTAAATGGCATTTGTTTTTTTTGGATCACTTCAACTTCAACAGGATAATCTCAAACGTTCAATATACTGAACATTATTTAGAGGCGTCAGAGAGATCGGTTAAAAACAAGTGTTTTAGGATCAAAATAAAAATATAAAATATTGTAATAAATTAATATTATGAACAGACATGAGTAGAGGGAGGGGGTATATACAAATGAGGATACTATTGCTATCAATATGGTCTAGTAGAACTGTAGTACAAACCAGTCAACTTCATGCTAACATGTGATGCGTCATATTAGTGTAGTGTGAATGTAGATCATTCTAAACCAAGGATGAATGATTTTGCCCAGCAACATATTCAAGTTTATTATAAAAAAACCAAGAACAGGTACATTTTGTATGTATCAAAATGGGTAATGTTATTATTCAAAATTTATACTATACTATTGAAACAAATGTACAGTACGTGCTCCGCTCTCCCCAGGCCATGCCTGAGTCATATTAGCAACATATGTACGGAAAGTACGGGAAAATGAGAGTGAATTGATTCTATGCTATATGAAGGCTTCAAAAACCTTCGTCCTTCCGGTCGTTCAGGCTCGCAAAAACGACAACGTGCGTTGCTCTGTGCCTGCAATGGTGTTCTTCTTTTGCACAAACAATTAATTTGATATTTTCAATGAATACCCTGTATTTTTTTTTATCTCCGGCAGATCTTTATGTTCAGAAAAAATCCTACATTTTTTTAGAAGTCGATGTTAGTGATGAAATCCTTCGATGTCCTACATTTATTTTGATATGTTCATTTTTCTCGAACCGAAAATTGTTTTCATCCAGTACATGCGCTTGATTATTTGTCCTTAGCTTCAAAATAGCATCAGTTGATACTGATAAGTCTTAACATACGTATTTTGCGTTGAGATATGCCGAATTGACGTTCAAAACATGTTGTGGCGCGACTGTGACGTCCCTGTTAACACGCGTCATCATAAAGTGTTGGCAATACATTCATTGAAGCCAACTCAATTTTTTGGAGCTATACAACATTGTATAGAACATTTTAATTTAGTTTATTCTTATTCCTACAGTTCAGTGTACATTTTTAACTTCATTGTAGGCATGGACACATAATGGATATCTTAGATGTAGTGTACGTATTTCATGCATTTCAATGATGTTACTTTTAAAAAGTTCTTCTGAAGTCATTTTAACACAAGTTCAAATACAGACATTTTCTTTCTGAATTTTTCAACAAACAGAAAGATATTTTTTTTTTCTTTTGAATTTTCATCTCCGAATAATGTCATAGTTTTCCGTAACCTGATTTTTAAGAACATGATTTATTTTTTAAAGGCGCGTTTTGCTGTGACATCTGCTTCGTCTTCTTACCAAATTACTTCAGATAAAAATATGCAGTAAATTCTCTTACAGTTATTGTGTGTATGTATGTTTTTGTAATATGATCACTATTGGCATCAGAATGATTGAATGAAAACAGTGGAAATGCGGTAAGTACAATTATGGATAAGAATATATTTCGGTGTATAACTGACGTGTGCAAGTATACATACATGTAGTTTCAAGAGGAACGCCAAATTAAGATCAAAGTAAAAATTCATTTTTTATGAACGTATGCATTATTGGATATTCGACTGTTCTTCAAGACTTAACAATTCCTCTGTATTTTCATGTCTTTGAATGTTCTTTGTCTTTTAAAACTAGCGAAAAGACAGAATCTCTACAATATGTACAGCGTAATGTAATCAATTCTAGATTAAGACCTTTGATTCTTTTGGATGCATGTATTAACAAACACTAGTCTAATAATAGTGTAAATTATCTTTTTTATTTTCGTTCTTATACTCTCTTCAGTACTTTACGGTACCAACTGAAGAAAACAAACAAATAGACCGGTAATTGATTCTAACAATCAAAACAACGAACCAGGGCAGATCCATAGCGACAGGGTTCAATATGGGGTTAAGGCAACTTGTGGAGACCGGGGCAAGTTCGAAACCGAAATGCTACTTATTGATGGCATACGTGTAACAAACCGACAGCTTCACATGATGGTATACATACAAGCCTAGTATTGAGTTTCGTATTGCACTAATATACATATTTCTTAAAATATAAATGTTGGGCAGGTTCGTCCCATGACACAGGAACAGGTTCTGCCAATGCCATACACGGGAAGCAAGGCAATGGCGGGAAAATATGACGTTGCATGCTTTCTGATGTCATGATTATGCAAATTCCAATGTGGGCCGAACTTACATGTACCCCAGACATCCTGCCGAACTTACCCCAAGGCGGTGCATATTAGGCCATACACTCTTCCAACAATAAAGAGTTTGATGACTCTTCAAATACGGGCATGTTTGCCATTTTGTTATAGTTTTATGAAGGGACTTTTTTCTTTCGAATGGTGTAAATACACATAAATTTTAACAAATACTGTCCAGAACAACTTTAAATAATGAAATGGGCCAAACATGCCCCTGTCTTCTTATCCTATATTTTGAAAGAAAATCCCACAGACGGGCAGGGGTTTCGGGAGGGATGAAGAATACTTAGTTATCCACCCTCCCCACCACGATATATATATATAAACAATCTTATTTGAGATGAAAGTACTAGACTCGTTGTTAAGAATTTTTCTTTATATAATATGTATTCGTCCGTAAGAATCATTTTTCTGATTTATAATATATATCTACTTACGGATCGACTTGACAACAACTTTATTTGGAGTATCACAGCAAATATGGTTGAGGAAAGAAACTACTTCAAAGCGATTGTAAGTAAGTTGGACGAAATCAACAAAAACTTACTTCGTTTTATCGATATTGTTTATGTGAGTAAGGACAACAGTGCAAGCAAACCTGCTGAAACTCCGGTTGAGGAAGTGAATCACATTGCTCAATCAAACTTTACACCGGACCCGGTTTCCAATCAAATTGACGCAAAGAAAATCCGGAAATCAATCATCCAGAAAGAAAACAGTTGTTTTGGAACTTCTTAAACTTTTCCAAGACCACTGATGTTTACAAAGTCTGGCTTGGGAAAAACACTCCAGTCTTACCCAGGAAGTTCCGCCCGAAAGTAATTCAAGGGGAAGATGAGGAAGACAAGAAAAACCGCGCACATACTGCGGTATACGGTTTCAAGGCTGAGATCCAGATGATGGATAATAAAAGTGACAGGGCAAATCAGGGCTACAAAGCAGTAGACAATAGAATGGAAAATATAATTGTACAAAATTCCTGGAATGAAGATATAGCAGAACCTCTCATTTCACAGTGGAAACAAGAATGCCAGAATAAGGAGGAGAGATCTTACGGAATATGGGAGAAGAAAAGGACATGGCTACGAAATTACCCTTCGGCGTATGGGGAGAGCATGTTTATCAAAGAAACACCGAAAACACCGGAAACACCGAAAACACAGAAAACACAGAAAACACCAACCAATGAACCGGTCACACTCACAACACCGATGACGATAAATACAACACCAAAGACGTATGCCAAAGTCGTAACTTCACCTGCATCCAAAGGATCCACGGGTAAAGGAGCCGTGACGAAACAACATCAACAACAGGACCGAAGGGAAATACCTCCGCGACAAGGAAAGGTTGCTCACCAACAGAAAGCTCAACCACAATTGAACACATCCGGTGTAAGAACTACATTTATAGGAAAATCATTGAAACACAACTATTTTTTAGGACATTGCCAAATAAAAAATAGAGGAGGTGGAACAAGAAAAAACAGAGACATGGAGCAAGTAAGACTATAGAAAATAATGTAGCGTGTACCGAACCAAAGGTAATTAATTTATCTAGTAGATGAACGCAGACGAATTAGCGTTATTAAGTAAGGGTTTGAAATTTTGTCCTACGCAAGAAAAGCCTAATGTTAATGAATTAAAATGCGATATTCAGGAATTTTCTAGAAGACTCTGATTAAATGAAATGTTCTGTTCTAAGAGTAATAATGATGATGATGGCGACGAGGATATACATTTACAAACTCAGACTGTAAGTTTAGTTAGAAACAAATCAAATTTCAAACCACCTAAGAGCAGAGATAAAATGTTAGAGGATGTCTTAGAAAGTTTAAACAAATTCCCACTTGAAAGTTCACAAAGTAATAATCGACATGTCAAAAATAATCTTTCTTTTAAGCAGACACAAGCGATGAAAAGTTTACAAAACGACCGTTCAATTGTGATAAAAGAAGCGGACAAAGGCGGTGCAGTTGTAATTATGAACACCGATTTTTATTTTAAACATATTACTGACATGCTTTCTGATGAGGAACTTTATGAAGATATTAATAACAATGCTGATGTCTCAACCCGTGCAATGATTAATAACTTATTGAAAAAACAAGGTGAGAACATGTTGGTAGATGAAGAAATAAACTATTTAACAGTGTTTACACACAACACGAGTTTGTTCTATGGTTTACCAAAAATACACAAGAGTGAAATTATAAGCAATGCAATAACAGAGCAAAATTCTGTTTATATTGAAGTAGAAAATCCTTCAGATTTGAAATTGAGACCTATTGTCGGTGGACCCAACAGTAGCACACAACGTCTGAGTCATTTTATGGACATTTTATTGAAACCACTTTGTAAGTCCGTCAAAAGTTACATTAGGGACGATTTTGATTTTCTTCAACATCTTCCAAAGCATGTTCAACCCAATAAATCGTCCGCTAGGCCTGTCTGCCTTCTAGGGCCTCTTCGGGCGGAATGATGATTGGTGATTGATATATATAGAATGGTATATTGAATTATGCAAGGATCGGATTCTAGCTTTTCTACCGACTGTGCATAAAATGATACAGTTAAATTATGCAGAAAACTGTATTTTGATGTGTGCCCGCTGACTAGGTCTCACCTATTTCATATTAAGTAAACATGGCGTGTTAAACCATAATCATTAAACTAATCAATGCAAGCACCTGTTGTCGCACCCATTATTTCGGTTTGTGTATTTGCTGTCACTTAATTCTGTTATTGTAAAATTGTGCTTGTCGTTTTCCATTCGTCCCTGATACCAACTAAAATAAACCACATTATTTTTACATTACTTTGCAAAATCACGGGCTTCTCGGTTATCTGCCTTTTTTTATTTAATCTCTAAAATTTCAGTCACGTCTCTTGGCGCATCTGAGGAACATCTTTGCTATCTCCTATATACGCTTCCCCATTGAATTATAAAAGAAAAGAAACTTGAATTGAATTACAGTTATTTTAATCTAAAACAAATATTACTGGTCAGGTAAAACATGAATCATTATGTGCAGCAACGCTCAGCTAACGGCAAAGCCATTAAAGAAGGAATTAATGTAAAACAAGTATTACTGGTCAGGTAAAACATGAATCATTGTATCCAGCACCGCTCAGCTAAAGGCACAGTCATTGAAGAAGGAATTGAGAAACCAAACAGGTAAGCTGAATCTGTGTCCGTTTAATTTTAAATATACAATAGTATATTTAGATGAAAGGAATCGAAAAGTCTACTGCTCTTGCTTTGTTAGCACAATATTTTTAGGGAGACCGTACAGAGTTCGGGAGTGCCAGGTTGGAATATCGGTTAAAATGTAATTCAATGGCGCTGGTTTTTTCTACTTCAATTGAGCGTACATCATCTTCAATAAAACGACTAACATGCAATTAACACAACACACAGTATAACATGCATTTCGAAAAACACGGGGAAGTGTAAGTTATCTCTATTTCAAATTCTTTCAGATTAATTGAAATGTATTTAATTTTACAAACAATACATATTTCCTTATGAAACAAACATCATGAACAAGGAACATAACTGATATCATTCATACGTGTTAATAAAAAAAACTTTATTCTTAAAAACAACGCACCGGGACATTGGACAACGGAAAACCATATATTTCATTAGAACAATACGGTGAAAAAACCTCTTCCAATCAAAAATGTTTAGGTTATGGTGTTTCCTGTTTTTTCTCCTTCTTCTTTCGCTTTCGAGATATTTAATATATCACCTGTAATTTGTTTTCATAGGATATCCTAATTTTGCATTTTCTTCTACATATTGTGCATTTTAAAAACTTTATTTTTACAATTGACACACCTTGTGTAAACGCTAAAGGTTACCCGTGGCAAACTCCCCTCCGCTGTTTCCATCGAGAAAAGGTATGGAGAGCAAACAGCTTAAAAATGAAAAGTGTAAACTTCTTTGTTCTTACTTTTTTTCCTGATAATTCGTCGTTGATTTCGATGGTGTTTGTTATCAGCACCACTACCTTTTATGTGCATTGACTTTGTATTTTGATTTGAAATACCATTATGTTATGGGTGCACATGTGCTACCAAACGCTCCGTTGTTTTTGTTTATTTGGTGCAGGGGTCCCCTCACCTCAAAAAAGGTTAGATGTTCGCACTTCCATATATTGTATAGGTTGGTACTTTGCTATTTGTTGCCATATTGATTAGTTAATTTTTGAATGGCATTCGGCAGTTACATTTTGTGAACTACAGTATTGTCCTACCTTACCTTACCAGTCAGCTTCATTTCTTCACATACTGCCTGACTGGAGAGAAACGTAAAAATAGATCGTTCGTGATCTGCCACTTCTGCCTCCTATACAGACCAACCAGTACCCAGTCTTGTGAGGTCTCTTTTTGGATGACGTTTATCTATGTCGTTCTAGGACGATTCTGCGTTTACCATGGGTTGGTATCCACTGGTAGAGTTGTTCGGTAATCCGGTTGTTGTCCATGCGATGAAGATATCCAAACCACTGCAGCCTGCGCTTTCTGATAATGTTTGTGAGCATTGGCTGTTTAGTCATGGATCTTACATGCTTATTTGTGACATGTTGCGACCACACAATATTCAAGATCATTCTTTGGTATCTCATGTCACAGGCATCCAGTCTGGCATCATCTCTTTCTGTCTGTGAACTACAGTATGAAGTAAAATTAACTTTTTAATTGCTGAATTTATTGACTTTCTTTTACAGACACCTTGATCATGATGTCAATAATAAATTAAGGGATACCATTGGCGTATCTATCATTAACTTGAATACATTAATCTATTACTTGTTTCAGTGACTTACCTTGTCAAGTGGCGGCAATACATATAGGTGATACATTGTACAGGTATATGAAGAATAAATCCAGCAGTTCTATTCAGTGAACAGCTACAAATACACCGAAGACAATGTCGAGGTACTAGTCTATATTTACATATATATCAAAAGAAAAATCTCAACCGCACACATCAGACTTTTTATATGAACGAGAAATTTTGACGAATATGCATATACTTGCAGCGGATATTGCTATAGTGAACTACAATGTGACGTCAGAATTATTTCTCCTATAAATAAACAGTCTGAGGAATATCCCTGATGAAATGAATGTGCTTTGCATTTTTTTTATTTGTTTCTAACTGATTATTATCATAAACATTTTAACAAGTAACATACTTTGTCTTTGAAACGTTCACATTAAAAACTCAGATAAAAATGATAACTTATCATTTATGCGTATCATATAGCATACAGTCATTTATTAAATGCATTATTACAACACCATCACATAATTTTTCAATCAGGAACTGTCGGTACTGTCCGTTAACGATTATTGTCTCGTTCAAGGAAAGTACCGACTGTTTCCGGTTGATAATAATTTGTCTGTAAAGTTTTAATGTCAACCATTGTGACGTCACAAAGAACAAATACGATGACGTCATAAATTCACGGCTGTCATATTTGCATGTTTACATGCAATGCTGAATGTGTCCATTTTTATGAAATAACCCTTGTCTAATGATATTGTCAGGAATATGATGTGGATATTTTTTTTGGTATTATCACCATTGTAACACAAATTCAGACCAAATATTTGGTTTATCAAATAAGTCATTTAACCGTTTGCCAATATATGAGGGGTTCTGCGGCGTCCATTGTCAGATCGGCGTCAACTTTTTGGCTAAAAACGATTTCTTTTCAATATCCAACATACCAAAAGCGATAGCTTTTACAAGTTGTACGCGGGGGTAAGGGGTACAAAATATGTTCAAATTAAATACCTTGACCCTTTAATGACATTGGTCCATTTTTAATATTAATGGTGTGTGATTCTTATCAGGTGAGCAAAACAGGTCCATTAGAACTCTTGGCTTGATTACATATCTTTGTTTTGTCGGCTTTCCGGATATTATGATGCTACAAAATATTTTCTTGTTTCTGTTTTTTAGCTATTATCCTACAATGAAGATGGCGACCAGTTTTAGCGATGAGAAGGACGATATGTACTATGTTCACGGCCATATTGGCAATATCAGTCGGGCGGCCATCTTGGAAAGTCTAAGTGAGATACAATTATTTACCATACATAAGCTAATGCATTTCAACAAAGAAAATAAACTAAAATATATATAAAAAATATCACATTATGTTAAATTAAAGTTAGAAAAATTGATCAACATGAATATTTCTATACCGATTTGAATATTTGATGTCTACCATTAAAAAATCTGCAAAATTCAACTCTATTATTTATGTTGATATGAACTTTCTATAGGGTCTATCTATGAATAGGAATTTTTAATAAAGATTAATGACATATTATTTTATAAACATATTCAAACCCTAGGTTATTTGTTTCTCCCCTATATACAATATTAGGGTTAATAATTATATTACGTTAGAATACAATGAAAGGCGCTTTTATATATTCTTCGGTTTCTTATAATAATATTCTTCTTTTACGCGCGGATTTTTTTGTCACATATCTCATTTTCATTTCACCAACAAGCAGAGCAGAGCTGCTTCGGTACTTTTGTACTCTGCAGCTTGTTGCCAGTTTCATATATCTGTGTGTTTAAAAGATTTAAAATGTACATGCAGGCGTGTACCTTCATTTGACAAAGAAATGTTGCCCTAGAGCAGCTACAAAATCGACCCACGTGTTTGTATTTACAATATATGAAGCTTGTTTGGAAGAGCGTTAGTGTATTGGAAGAAAAAGAACATCAACGTGAAAATCGATCCCAATGATGAATTATTAATAACAACTGAAAATTGTCGTTACATAGTGGATGTGGTTTAATACATCAAAACTTTATTATGATATATAAAGATACTGTTATGTTATGTTTAATTGCTATGACTTTAATTCATTAAGGAAGAATACTTAGTTCAAGGCAAGCTTCCAAGACGGAACATCCAGTCAACATAGCAGATTATGGAACTGCAGACGGACAATCTTCTCTGTCGCTCCTCAATGAAATGATAGGTAAATATAATACCATTAGACAGGAAAAAACTTTCAATATAAAGTGCCTATTTCAATGCATGTTAAGAAAGTACAATTATGTTACAGATGTCATACAAACAGATCTGGGGAAGGAACAAGCCATTGTCGTGTACTATAACGATCAACCGATGAACGACTTCAATCGGCTAAGCAAAGTCATCCAAGGTTGTATAATGCATTACGATGTCTTTCGATGACATTATGACAGGATAATTTGATAAAATAGGTGGTAATTTCTTGATTTTGCTACCAATTAGTTTAAATTAGCAATGGTGAATCAAACGTTTATCATAATTTATCTTTTCATTTTAAGAACAGATAAGAAATAGATCCACGTAAGATATATCTAAGAGTTCAAGGGATACTGTTTTGATCTGTAAAATATCTTCCGTACATGTCTGAATTAATGTTGAACTAGTTAACAAAATGCATCGAGTCGAAGAATGTGTTTCTCAGGTAATAGACAGGATTCTGGACTAACTGTTGACAACCACGTCTATTCGGTGATCGTTCCTAGGACTATGTTTGAACAATGTCTCCCTAACAATACTCTGGACCTGGCAATTTCCTCCGTAGCAACACATTATTTGTCAAAACGGTACGTATCAGTCACGTGTTTCAGACAAATTTTAATAAATAAAATACTGAATACCGGAAAAAATTCGCCCAATCAACCTCGTGCTCTTCGTCTGAAACATCCATGGTTTCCCAGTTTTAATTTCGCCCTTCACATCTTATTACTATGTCAGTTATTTTGTTTACTGATGTTCACTGTAATGATCTATTCACACTCTCAAATGACACATCAGCGATACTTTCCCGGTATACAGTTGTCATTTTTCTTTGATAAACATTCATTAAATGTTCAACAGTGAAATATCAGGAATTTAACCCTTTAATAAAACGTTTTATTTTTACTTCTTTCAGTATTGTCCAATCATAATGATACTTTCTATTTCATTTCAACAATTTCTATTGTGTTTTTCAACAATAGGATTTGACAACGGGCAAATACTTTCTATTCACTGCATAGTGTTTCAGTTTCAAGTTCAGATGAAGCGATGGCATGATAAGAGGCTTTTTGGAACACATTTGTAGCATACAGTATGGTATTTACATAACTGCACAATTAATATGACTTTTGTTTGGTAATTGCAGCAAACGAAAGAATTGCATTCAGCAAACTACTCAAAATGGCGTCCTGCCTTGTTGTCAAACTCGACGTCTTAGCACTTGGCGTCAAATATTGAGCTACTAGTTCCTGCGCTATTTTATGCATCAATATTTGCGTCGTGCTTCCTGACAAAATGTTATCAACGAAAAATGTAATAGTTTTTCCATGGAATGCTTTATATATCTTTCACTCGTATGGCAGAATATACAATGTACCTACATTTTCACTAGTGCTTGTGCTTCGAACTCGTGATAGTATCGATATTCTGGAATGTTCGTAAAATATATATGGTTTTCAAAAAACAAATCATTAAATATACTTCTTACTTGTAGTTGTAAATCGGCATGAAATAAAAAGAACTATGCATGTCAAATTTAACACTAGTCTTAAACACGAAAATATATATTGTACTACATGTATATCCACTTTGCTGAATTTATATTTCTAGTATTTGTGCAATTTGTACTATTTTCTATTGATGATTTATTGGGGATTTGTTACAGACTGCTAAATTCATACTTCCTTTTCGAGGGATATAGTTTTGCTACTTTCATACTTCTTTTTGGGGGGATATAGCTATTAGTTATATGCTTGTTAGAAATGCTTGTATTTATTATCTAAGCAATCTGTTTTCACAGATAGTAAAATCATTGTGGGTAAACTGTTAGATATCAGTTGTCATCGCTTGTTCATGCAAATTTCACTATGTGAAATTTAGAAAATTAGATAACACAACATTTTTACAATTTATCAAGGTGAGAATATTTCAAATTATTTATGTATTTTTCAATCCGTATTTTATTTATCAATTTTAGAGTTTGTCAAATCAAAAATGGTGTATTTCTTGACGAAGCAGACGACATTGAACAATATTTGATGAAGGAGCAAGCCAAAGCTGATTGGAGGTCTTTTGTTATTTCTAGGGGACGGGAACTAAAGCCTGGTATGTAACAATGGTTTTCGTTAAATATCATAACTATTTGAATTTGAAATGTAAAGGATTGTCAAGGGGTGTCAACATAACTGAATGCTTATTCACATGTATTTTGATTGATGAATAATGTATGCTTTTATCCACTCCTCCCAAAATAAAACCATTTGTCATAGGAATACAATACATAAAAGAACCGCAGTATTTCCCATGTCAGCACGCTTAACAACCTATGATGTTTAACCAACACATAACAAGGAAGATTTTGTTAAATACATATTTCATTTGTGTTGATTAAATTTCCCATACAAATAACTATGAATCAGTCTATTTGCAAATAATGTGCTAATATGCTCTTACATTGTTTACTTGATGACGTCAGTCGCGAGTAGAACTAATCTTTTGACGGTTTAATCACGATATACCACTGCAAAACACAGTAGCGTTATCCCCATTCAAATACATATCAACAAAAACCACCGAAAGAAACGACGAATTGAAGACATTTTTGAGTATTTTCTTCAAATACTGGGTCTCTATGCTGTGGGTTGGTGACGACAGAAATATATAAAGTGAGGCGAATTACGTTGACCTCTATGGTCACGCTATTGTTTGTGACGTCATGAAAAATATCAATTTCATGACGTGTCAGGGTCAGTCGGGGTCATCGACGTCATTGACAGTCGCCATCCGGGCTTCATATGCAAATGAAACATTTTCGGACGGTATATCGTTATTATTTTGATTGACAAATCAAATGCCGTGTTCGATCTCAAATTAGTTATAATAAACAATCATTGCAATAAAACTCACTTTTGGAATTTACATTCATCGAATATAGTAGGAATCTCATGTTACATTCAATTTCATTTGTTGAAATATTAATCAAAGTAAAAATAATCCTAAAACATCGGTTATCGTAATTGTTTTGGTTATTATAGGGTTTTTATTTTTATTGAACAATACTATGAAGATATTTTTTACATTGTGTTTGGATTTTCACATAGGCATTTATTTATATAAAAACTATGAACTTGAAATGTCAGCTTTTAGATGCGGTTTCATTTATGAACTGACCAAAACAAATGTAAAGAGCTTTGCGTATATCTTCTCCCATTAAATGTTCAAAAAGCCGCTGATAAAGTTACGACTTACCGGTGTTTCAGGTGGTTTTCTTATTACAATGACCCCATCTTCAGATGAAAATGATGAAGTACAATTGCATGTACACATGGGAAACCTCTGCCTTGGGAGCATCGTGTCTAATATGGCAAAAGAAGGCGTAATTTCACAGGTATGTGACCAATCTATCTATATGTATGTAAACTATCGTAACTTTTGCTGAACATGATATGTTAAGGATCCCCGGACCATTGTCGAAAAATGTAAATGAGTGCTGGAAACTATTATTTTCCGGCATGAGTATAAATTTGATCAATCATTTCTGAAAAGGAAAACACACATTGCGCTTCTTTTATAAAGAAAATAAAGATGATTTTTTATTTTTTGTAATCAACAACAGAGTTCTGAAGTTAAACACTTTTAGCGGGGCTAGTCCGGGAATCATTGTAAAAATATCGCTTTAATCGGCTGAGCTTCCCATTCAACGGAAGTCTCCTTGTCCGAATGTGCTACAGTTATATCCTGAACGAAGTTAAGGGGAAGTTACTGTATATACGAAAAACCATAGCGCAGTGGGACAGAGATACCTAATCTGTAAAACTTTTATAGGCACTCTTCCCTTTTGCTGTATCGCTATATATATGTATCAACACATTTTGAGACGGAATTTTATTCTCTTGCTCTTCACGACTTATGAATCTTAAATGGACAAACTGGCCATATGGTGCAGTAACTATTTGCTTTATATGGCTTTCTGCATCAACAGACTTTATTTTCAAATAGGTGCTTCCTTCATTTGTATTTTCAGTCATTATTATACAATTATGGACTTTTGTCCTGGTGAATATGATGATGATTTGAACCTGAAAAAGTGATATTGACCGAGACAAAACCGAGATTAATATCACATTTTTGGGTTTATATTTATCAGTCATTATTATACAATTATGGACTTTTGTCCTGGTGAATATGATGATGATGATTTGAACCTGAAAAAGTAATATTAACCGAGACAAAACCGAGAATAATATCACATTTTTGGGTTTATATCACATCATATTTATCAGCACAAAAGCACATAACTGTTTTATTACATGCTTCAACAATACAATTTCACTAGCATGCGCTACGACAGGTTGTGGAGAATTTCCATAAAGGCTATATTTAGAAATCCATATTCACCGGAAAAACCAGTCTACATGAGTTTTTGAGGACTGGGCACGTGTATAGGATCTGGCCGATATGATTGCAAGAAATTTCAAGCATATAATAATACATAATAATCAATCGTCTATATTAACAGGAGGAATATCTTGGAACAAACTTTCCCAACCACTATCTGAGAAAGCCGGCTGATTTTAAGGAACCGTTCACTAGTGCTCTACCGGAAGTGAGGGAACTTGGATTAGAACTGGTGTCTGTTAAATCAATTAAAGACTATCTGCAACACCCAACGTTTGACATTGTCAACAAAGGTGAGGTATATTCAGGTAGCATTAAAACCAGGATGAGTGTTACGCCACGATTTCTCAACCGGGTAGGAAATCGCCCTTAAATTACTGCGCTCGCAACACGATTTCTCACACCAGCACGATTTCTCATCCGAGCGAGAAATTGTGGCTTAACAATAGACAACAGAATATGTGTCAAAATTATTTGGTTCATATATTAGTAACCACTTTCATAAAGATCCTCATAAAAATATTGAAGGAAATTAAACAAAAAAAAATGGTGATCATATCATTTGTAACTACTTCTAAAATAATACAGATAAAATATAGGGATTGAATCTGGGTATTTCCAGTGTTCGTGAAAGTATGAACGGGGAAACATTTACTTACACATTCTTTAGCGGCTGTAGCTATAATTCCAAATCGCTATCAATGGGAAGGAAAATAAAAAAAATCATTAAATTACGAACTTTTTTTCATTAATTCATAAATTCAGTGTAGTAATATGACGTAACATTGCAACGTCATTTCGGGGACCTCGAAACTAATTCACATGACAATTTCCAAAGGCCGCTTTATTCGGCTTGAGCAATCATGTTGAGAAAAACATTGAAGAAACAGTGGTTAAGTTTGCAAATGAGTTTTAATTTAACGTAGGAGATGCTACATAGAGAGATTTTACAACACTGTAGCTTCGGGTACGTTGATGTCGAGGGATGATGATTTTGAAGAACGGAAAGGCCGGGGTTGGCACCCGGTTTGAGAAAAGCGGTGTTTATCATGACGGGAAATGCATTCGCTACAGTAGACTCGTCACGTTTGGGTGTTTTCGTGGATCAGTCATGGATATAAAATATGAAAGAACTTTAATTTGTTTGTCATGGGAGGAACATTATGTGTCGTAATTCAAACTCCGCGTCCCTCGACGTTCGGTTGTTTGTAGTCTCGGCCTCGCTTTGTGCGGCGTTTGTAGGCAACAGTAGCTCGTGTTTACATGCCGCATTCGTGGAAATTTATGGATAAAACATTATATGTGTAAGTAGATTCACCTCAGTTGATATTTTCCAATGTTGGAAAAATCCAGATTAATTCCTTATATTGCCACTTTTTTGGTCACTGTGCGGACCCATATGTGACTTTGAAATATTGTCAGTTTGAGCTTTGTCAGATAAATATCGTCGCTACGTCGGACGACAGAACGTCTGACTGTTTTAAATATGGTCAACTGTAGTTTTAACTTATTAATTTTTAAAACTTCTAATACACCTTATAAAGATACAATAATAAAAATAATGAGAAACAGTAGACCTTGCAATTTTGTTCACGGCGCGTTTAGTTTATGCAATGGGAGACAACTCGAACGACTATTGAATTGCTAACTGAAAAATTAGGATTTGGAAAATTTAAAAGAAGTCCCATGGAAAAAACAGCAGTTCATACTAATATTAGCAGCTGCTTTTTTGGGTCACATGTGTTAGTATTAACCAATCACAGACCCTGTAACAAAGCGCAAAATCAAATTTGGAATTATATATCTATGATTTTGTAATACTTCAGACGAGGAAGAAAAACTGGAATATTCCCGAACAATAGTTGCTTCGATCTACCCGTGGATGCATCACGTGCTTTCCGGGGGATTGTCCATTTCCCGAACGGAGGATGAAAAACAGACCGTCATTGACCAATTCTTCACCAGATTACAAACGTATGCGTTTGATCATTCAGACCATAAACCGTCCCTGATCTACACTCAGGTTGTTATAAAGAAAGCTCACATCTATTGAACAACGAATGGAACATACCTAACATGGGGTATCTAACTACATCATAAACAGATACATGTGTATTTACACTAAGTTGATATTTTAAAACCACGTATGATTACATCAGGATCGATTCTACACTATATCATGCAAATGTAACAAGTGTACCACAACGGCATCGAAATAAACTAACCAAAAAAGATATAGTTTCGATATTGTTTGAGTAGATTGTTGACGTTGAGTGCTGAAATATTGTGAAATATTGCTAAAACGACTTCATTGGAAGTTCGGCTGTTGCTTGCTACAATGTAGTATGGAGTGCTTCAAAATGTTCAAATCTTGTCTCACATTCAAGGTCATGGATCAAATTAGTTTAAATGCTCAAAGGAGTTTGGGTGAATGGCTATCAGGTTTGTTAAAAGATATTACCTTCACCAACTTTGACATTTCCACGAGTAAAAAAAGTTAAGCTATAATGTAGGTCAATCAAATGAAAAGTTATGTTATTTATCATACAGGGGCAGCAGTTGATAACATATGAGCGATACAGGTCAAATGAGCCTCTTAGTTGTATAAAGATGTTAAATCGAGAGTAATATCCATGAGCTTATCGGGATATTTATTTATACAGACTAAATATGTAAACAAGTATGAAGGCAAGATGAAACCTGATAACCCTTGTATTGAAACATAGACATAAACAATAGAGGCATCGCAAATCCTTAAATGATATTTTGTATATTTATCTGCACTAAATCTTTCTATATCCCGATGAATTACCTCCTTTTTTGTATGATTAAGCGAGGTATTTCATTGGTTGATCGGAAACATTTGACGACGATATGCTAACATCTACCATAATTTACCGGACGTGACGTCACTTTGGACTGATTTATTGTTAAGCTGGCCTTTAATAGGCGATTTGAAGCCAACCCTTTATAGCTGGTGAGCTTTGCCCGGCAACTGATGTCATCNGGGGGATGCGATTCATCATTTGACAATCTTGTCGCGTGGGATTTAGACAAAACCCTGTTGATTTTGAGGGTTGGGTGAAAAGTTGTTGATTTTTAATTAATTCATTTTGAAATTCGTCTTCATGAGCATATGTACATATATAAATGTATATTTTTTACCGCTAAATGTATATATCTATGTATATGTAATTCATCCAACAATACTGCAAACATTCTTCCACAGGAACTCTCAGAAGGTTTAAACTTGCCCATAATGTATACAGTTTTCACAATGTACGTTATTCAAGAACATTTAAATTCACATTCTTTAAATAAAATATAGTGAAAGAGGAATTCCCCAGATCCAGTTCACTGCATCTGTTCTGAAATTATTTAACCGAACACATTGACCTGAAGTGGAAATCTCAATGGTATGTTATTAATGTCTGAGGCAGTATTGCTTTCTTGTTTGTGAGGCCGTTGGGCGTTGGGGTTGTAGCGTGGTAGACTATCAGAGTTTACTAGCACTGAAACCGAGAAATGTGCTCGAGGACACGAGAAATCTAACAAATTGAAGGATAGGCATAAACAAGCATCCCCCAATGTTAAGGAGAGAGAGCGTCCCTTGCTAGAGCCTGTGGATGCGGACTCCACGAAAAAGAACGATTGCTTACGAGTATTGGCTGCGGCATACATATCTACCGTTCGCGTACCCCACCTGATGGATATCCTAACCCTAATCCTCGGGTTGAGTAACCATTCTGAAGGAAAAATTTCCATCCGCAACAGTGTGTCTGCATTGACGTTTTTCATCCTTGCTATTTGTGCTGCCGTGATCTGTAATTTTTTTCGGGAACTAATGACCATAATTCCCAAGCCTTTTGACAACAGGGTTCGACATTGACCAAGTACCCTGTGTTCATTTATTGTCCAAATACCATCTTCGGGATGCTTGGTAATGAACTGTGAAATATCAAAATGTTTAAACTCTCAAATGTCTTTCTTCTGAAGAGCAAACACATCGTAAGAGACGTGTTAGTGTATCAGTAACTTGCTAGCATTGGATGCTACAAAGTTTGCCACACAGGGCTAAAATCAATCAAACACTCGATCGGCGTCTTCTGATATTACGTAACCAATATACCTATTAGGGTATACGTATATGGCTAGTTTGCTAAAACTGTCACATCTTTTAAAACACTTAAACAGCTCCTATTGAAGAACAGGGCATTAGTCATTATATACGACAAGAAGCTTGCTACCATGGAATATTACTGATTCGGGTTGAGATCAAAAACGAAATCGATTTTTATTCAGGGTCACAGTAGTCGAAACTCTTAAAACTATAAAAAAAACTTCTTCTTAAGACCAAAAAGGCCTAGCATTATTTTATGTAACCTGTAATGTGCCGGAATGGAGTATTTCAATGCTTGAGAAAAAAATGGCTTTGACATATTATCAAGGTCACATTTGTCAATTGTTTTAAAAAACACTAAAGTGAATCCAGGTGATGAAATAAAGAGTATGGAGTCACAATATTTGGCCAGTTATTTTATAGTATGGAGTGCTACAAACTTCGTTTAAAAAGGATTACTTTTACCCAAATTGAAGGTCACTGGAGACGCATTTGTGAAAAGACTGAAACAACTTCTTTTGAAGAAACAAAAGGCTTAATTAGTTCATCTCGTGAAAAGTTAAAAACATGTTTATATAGTATTTAGCCGGTAGCTTACTGAAATAAACTGAACCCCGTGGACGTGTATTATATCTCGGCTCATGTCATCCGATAATCAGTTTTAAGGATCCGCGCACCACTGCCAAAATTGAAACTATGCAATCGAATCTCATTTTTCCGGATGACTTTGATAAATCATTTTTTGAAAAGAGAAATATACCTTGTGGGAGTTTAACTACGATCAGCAATTGACATGGTAACTGTTTATTAAACTTGACCTTTTTTAACTCCACACGTGTGTATGTGACCCCTACCTTTCAGTATGTTAATAAGCTTGAAAACCTGATACGTAGAGCAGCGGAAAAAAGGGTGTCAAAAGACCGACTGTTGACAAAGTTTTCCTTAATTATTGTGGATATGAATTCGTTTAGTGACTGACACGATCCGTGATGGATAAATAATGTTACCTTACATTCTGACTTTCCGTGAACCCCGACAGCTTGTTTATTCAGCCACAAGGCTTAGTTGCAGACCTTGATATGTCAATAAGTAAACATGGCGTGTCAAACCATAATCATTAAACTATTTTATCAATGCAAGCACATGTTGTCGTACCCATTATTTCGGTTTGTGCACTTTGCTGTCACTTATTGTAAAATTGCGCTTGTTATTTTCCATTCGTCCCTGACACCAACTACTTTTATACAAAACAAAAACTATTTTTACATTACTTTGCCAAATCACGGGTTACTCGATTATTTGATGTTTTTATATAATCTCTCAAATTTCAGTCACGTCACTTGGCGCGTCTGAGGAACATCTTTGTTATCTCCTATATACACTTTACCATTGAAATATAAAAGAAAAACAAAACTTGAATTGAATTACATTTTTTTTATCTAAAACATATATAACTGGTAAGGTCAAAAATGAATCATTATATGCAACACCGCTCAGCTAAAGGCACAGCCATTGAAGAAGGAATTGAGAAACCAAACAGGTAAGCTGAATTTGTGTCCGTTTAGTTTTGAATAGACAATAATATATTTAGACAAAAGGAATTGAAGGGTCATAATACTCTCGCTTTGGTTGCCCAGACATTTAAGGGATACCGTACAGAGTTCGGGAGTGCCAGGTTAAAATCTCGGTAAAAATGTAAATCAATGGCGATGGTTTGTTCCTACTTCAATTGAGCGTACATCATCTTCAATTAAACGACTAACATGCAATTAACACAACACACAGTATAACGTGCATTTCGAAAAACACAGGGAAGTGTAAGCTATCTGTTTCAAATTCTTTTAGATTCATTGAAATGTATACAATTTTAGAAACATTACATACTACATTATGAAACAAACATCAACAACACAAGAATGAAAATTCAAATAGGTGTTTTAGATTTGGGTTGTTTTACTGATTTAAATTTGATCAATTAAAACCTTTACATGAAATTGAGTTGAAGGAACATAACTTATATCATATATACGTCTTAATAAAAAAAAATATTCTTAAAAACAATGGACCGGGACATTGGACGACGGATGAAAATAAAAATAAAAAATGTTTAAGTTATGGTTTTTCCTGTTTTTCTCCTTGTTCCTTTGCTTTCGAGATATTTAATATATTACCTGTAATCTGTTTTAACAGTTAGGCTATCTTAATTTCGCATTTTCTTCTATATATTCTGCATTTAAAAACTTTTTTTTTACAATTGACATTTTTACAATTGACACACCTTGTGTAAACGCTGAAGGTTAACTGTGGCAAACCCCCCGCTTCCATCGAGAAAGGTATGGAGAGCAAACAGCTTAAAAATGAAAAGTGCAAACTTCTTTGTTTTTACTTTAATTTCCTGATAACTCGTCGTTGTTTTACAATGGTGTTTGTTAACAGCACCACTACCTATTCTGTGCATTGACTTTGTATTTTGATTTGCAGTACCATTATGTTATGGGTATTCACATGTGCTACCAAACGCTCCGTTGTTTTTGTTTTTTGGTACAGTGGTCCCCTCATCCAAAAACAGTTATGTGTCGCACTTCCGTATCTTTGTTTAAGTTGTTACTTTACTATTTGTTGCCATATTGATTCGGTTCTTTTTAATGGCTTTCGACAGTTACATTTTGTGAACTAGAGTATTACCCTACCTTACCAGTCAGCTTCATGCATTTCTGCACATAATGCCTGACTGGAGAGAAACTTCCAAATAGATCTTTCTTGAGCTGCCACTTTTGCCTCCTCTACAGACCAACAAGTACCCAGTCTTGTGAGGTCTCTTTGGATGACGTTTCCCCATGTTTTAAAACGTTTCTGCGTTACCCATGGGTTGGTATCCACTGGTAGAGTTGTTTGGTGATCCGGTTGTTGTCAATTCGTTGGAGGTGTCCTATCCACTGCAGCCTGCGCTTTCTGATAATGTTTGTGAGCATTGGCTGTTTAGTCATGTATCTTACATGCTTATTTGTGACATGTTGCGACCACACAATATGCAAGATCTTTCTTTGGTATCTCATGTCACAGGCATCCAGTCTGGCAGCATCTCTTTCTGTCTGTGAACTACAGTA